ATTCTTCTTCATTTAGTCCAGCTTCTTGAATTATTAGCTCAGTGTAGATTGAGTAGATGTGGAAATAGTATACAACACACTTTTCCTGATTTTAAACCATCTACTCTACTATGCCTGGTTCTGTTTTGGACAGCTGCCTAATGTCTAGGTTTTGCATGAGCACAACTAAGTGTTCTGGAATTCCCATTCTTCTTCTCAATGTTATCTATAACTTGTTCTGACCCACACAATCCACAAGAACCAAAATATGACCTCTACTGAATTCTAAAACCATCTGAGGAATGTATTTGATACATTGAATACTAATGACCAAAGATCAGATGAGTTACGGGGTGATATCAAAGACATCCTCCACCAAGAAAGCAAAAGGTCATTACAAATACCAGAAAGAAAGAAAAGGCCAAAGTAGATGTCCAAAGAGCCTGTGAACCTTGCACCAGAAGATAGAGAGATCAAAACAAAGGAAAGAAAAGTGGTTGTAAGAGAGATGAACAGAAGGTTCCAAAGGGCAGCTGGAGAAGACAAAGCAAAGTATTATAATGAAATGTACAAAGACCTGGAGTCAGAAAACCAGAAGGGAAGAACAGGCTCACCATTTCTCAAGCTGAAAGAACTGAAGAACAAATCAAAGCCTCGAGTTAAAACACTGGAGAATTCTATGGACAAAATAATGATGCAGGAAATGTTGAAGGAAAACGGAAGGAATATAGTCAGTTACTATTCCAAAAAGAATTGGTTGACAATGAATCATTTTAGAAAGTATCATCTGGCCCAGAACCAATGGTAGCTATCTAAACTATGCTGAAGACATTCACAAAAAATAAGACTTTAACAACTGAGGGAATATGAAAGGAAGTGTTTCAACCAACACATGCATCCCTAGATGTGCTCACTAGACTATGCCAAGAAATTTGGAAGACAGCTACCTGGCCAACTAACTGGAAGAGATCCTTATTTTTACCTATTTTTAAAAAATCCACAGACTGTGGAAATTATAGAACAATATCATTAATACCATGTTGGTGTTATGTGCCGTCGAGTCACCTGCGACTCATAGTGACCCTATGTACAACAGCCCTAAACTCCGCTCTGTCCTGTGCCAATCACACTGTCTCCGACACTCCCATCCCAATTATCCCAGTCACTGAATCAATCCACCTCATAGAGGGCCTTCCTCTCCTGGACTGTCCCTCCACCCTCCCAAGCATGATGTCCCTCTCTAAGGACCGGCCTCTCCTCACAACAAAATCTTGCCGAACATTATTTCAAAGTGGATGGAACAGTACATCAACAAGGAACAGCCAGAAGTTCAAGCTGGATTCAGAAGACACTGTGACATAGAATGTGTCATTGCTAATGGCAGATGGGTTTTGGCTGAAAGGAGAGAATATCAGAAAGACACTTCCTTGTGTTCTTTTGACCATGCAAAAGCGTTTGACTGTGTGGATCATAACAAATTATAGATAATATGGAAAAGAATGGTAATCTCAGAACACTCCATTGTGCCCATTCAAGCCCTGTACAATAGCAGTGGGTTTGATTCAATGTTTGTGAGAGTGGGTCATCGGGGCTGGGCTCCATGGAGTTCAGGAGAACTGAACTGGTGAGTTCAGGCCCCTCACCTTTTTGATCAGCAGCCAAGCACATAGCTGTTAATTTGGATTAGTGGTGAATTTATTCAAGCTTCTCCACAAGGACTAAAAGGAAAAGGGATTGAGGAGTAGGGAGACAGGAACAGTGGTAAGGTCCGTCAAGTAATCAGGAAATCTTTTATGAATATCAGGCTTAATCATTCCCTATCAGTGTAAAATTGTGTTAGATACTGACCACTGACTGTGGCCTCTAAAAGGTTTTCCAGATAGCCCGAAAGAATTCCCAAAGCTTCTCACACTCCAGTTCTTGGTTTCTCACAATCAAATAAGATATTTCTTTTTATGATTACTTGTTGTTGTTGTCAGGTGCCATTAAGTTGAGGACGACCCATCGCCACCCTGTGAACAACAGATCTGAACCTCATCCTGTCCCGTGCCATCCTCCTACTTCCCGACACATTAGAACCCATTGGAGCAGTCACCGTGTCAATCCACCTGGTCGAGGGTCATTCTCTCTTTGCCAAGCCTCTACCTTTCTGAGAATCATGTCCCTCTCCAAAGAATATCCCCTCCTAGCAAAATGCCTGAAGTATGTGAGCTGAAGTTTTATCATTTTTGCTTCCAAAGAGCGCTCTGGCTGCACCCTGTCTGAGACATAATTTGTTCGTCCTTTTAGCAATCCATGGAATGTTCAGTGCTCTTCAGAGACATAAATTCTTTTTCTGTTATCCATGCTCATTGTCTTAGATGCATAGCAACTGATTGGAAAGACCACAGCCTAAACAGACACATCTTGGTCTTCAAACTGATATCATTACACCTCAAAAACAGTTAATACCTTTGGTATGATTACTTAACATCCAGGAAATGCAAAGATACATATATCTCTAAAAAGGGAAAATAAAAATAAAAACTATCAATTTCCTTCCAATAAATACATTAGCATTAATTCAAAGAATCCCCACAATAGGGTGGATAAGGTCTGATAAGACATTGTAGTTGAAAGGGGAAAGATCCGGTGTGAAAAACAATGTATATGAACTTTAGGAACTCTGTAAATTTTTAAATTTTTAAAAGTCAGGGTTATAAAACAAAATGCCTATGGATGATTATATGAAAAGCCATTATGGTTTATAAACTTTTACTTGTTTATTTTAAAAGGAAAAAGTAGGAAATAATATCACACACTTTTTTTCTTTTCCTCAGCACAAAATTTGAGTTGAGGTAGAAGAATCTTTTCTCCTTCTCTGTAAGCAAACCTGACCTTGGTCTAACTTTCTGGCTTTGTTCTCCCGGAAACTTGATAAAGAAGGAAGGTCAGCTGTGTATTCAGACAACATTACTTACAGAAAAATTATGCTTGGCTGGTAAATTGCCAGGCAATGAGTCATAAACCCCAGGAGGAAAGTCATAACCTTGGTTTTCCTGCATAGAGTGACTCTCATAACTGGGTGTGTCCCTTGCTGGAACTGTTATTGTTAGGTGACATAATCTCAGCCATGACTCAGAGAAATCCAGTGGATGTGGGCTGCTGCAGGAGATACTCATTCCATATCTAAACAAGCCTTCTAAACAAAGCTGTGACTGGTGAGAAGCCAGAATTACACTTGCTGAGTTCTACAATGTGTCAGGCATTCTGGCAGGTCGTGGACAAGCAAGGAAGAAGACCAACGCAATGACTGCTTCTGGAAGCCCTTAGGAATTAGCCTCTCTTCACAGAAGAACTATAGCATCCAGAGAGCTGAAAATCTGAGTGGGACCCTATAGCTACAATTTTTTACAAAGGAAAGAATGTCTTTGTCACGAGTTGTTGACAAATCCTCCCAATATAAGCTTGAAAATATCATCTTGATCCTAGGGTTCTCAGTACTAGGGGATCATGCCATCCTCGCTGGCTAAATGAAGCCCTCTGGCTTTAACCCCATTCTGGTTTGATTGTCTAATTTTATATTTATATTCACCTTTAATCTAAACATCTCTCTTTCTCTCCTTTTCTTTTTCTTTATAGGGTGGTGGGATGCATGCCAAATGATGAGAAAACATAAAACCAGATCATTCAACTATGTAGATCAAGTTTGCATCATGAAGAGTAAATTGGGGACAAGGAGGCTCATTATACATATCACCCTTGGAGGAAGTGTTCAGTTTCTACTTATTAAAGTACGTGTTGCGTAAAGAATGTGTATTGAAAGGGCTTTCTCTTTGCCCCACTGTATTCAGGCAATGCTGGAGCTGGATACTCAAATCACAAACAATGCTAGTACCTCTTTGCTGTGTTGTAACTGAGAAGGTCCCTTACAAGACCTTTCATTGAGCTCTTCTACCCTCACTTCTCCTAAAGCCCCGCAGACCCTCAACTTCTCTCAATTCTTGAGTTTCTTCTTGGCCTCACCTTTCTTATTCAGTCTAAATATCATGTATTAAATAATAGTCTCCCAATTTTTCCAGCATACATATAGTCAATCTGCTCAGAATCACTCAGTCCAAGACCAAAACAACTACATAGCAGGCAATGTGGATTGGCAACTCAAAGTCATTACCATGGAGTTTGAACCAACTCATAACTGACCCTCCAGTAGGTTTTTGGAGGCTGTAAATTATACAGAAGAGTATTGTGCATCTTGGTTCCTTGGAGCCAATGGTGGACTTGAACCAACAGATAAGTACCACCTTTAAGTTAGTAACATAACTGCCTACAAATGAAATCACCAGGGAGCCCCTGTCAACTCACTTGTGTTGTTGTTGTGTATCATACATTCAGATCTGACCCATAGCTGACCCTCTGGCACGTTTTTAGAGGCTGTTAATCACACAGGAGGAGATTACGCATCCTTCTCCCATGGAGCCGCTGGTGGCCTCGAACCACGTGCCCTTGGAATTGCAGCACAGCTTCTTGCCACTAGGCCACCATAGTTCCCTGTGAACTCAG